GCAGTTCTGACATGGCGGATTGTGAACTAAGGAGCGGCCATGATGGTACACATTCAGAGAAGCAAGTGATTCCACTTCTCTGAACTAAGATAAGAAGAACGTTTTAATTGGTGTTGTCAGTTCCATTTGTGGTGAAAGCATTCCTTAAAAAAACAACAAGCTTCTGACTTCAGCGTAATCTAAAAGAAAAAAAAAAGAGAGAACATGTCACACTAACACTTTTGATAAACCTGACAAAAAGTGCCATTTTAAAAAAAAAATTGCAATTCAGAGACTGCACTTCCCTTTAAAGACAGCGTGTGAGTGGTTTTGCCACCTCTGGTTATTCTGTTGAAAAAGGTGACAAACCACAAAAAGTTTCCAGACAGTGATGCAAGTCTGTTTTTCATTTGTTCACTTACAGTTTTGCTCTTGCTATCACTCTTGACTGTCCAATGTGGTGGATGTGACTGGGAGGTGGTGAAGAACGTTAAGACAGCTATCGACGCAAACCCGACTGGATTTGTAAGTCTAAGGCATTGCATATAGCACGGACGTCACATTTGTCATGTTGGTTACGGCGCAACCAAACTAGCTAAGTTCCAAACAACATATCAACAGCAAGGTCAAACCGATTTCTATCGGGTGTACGTCTCTCACTCGGTACGGATATGTGGTGTGACATCATTCAAGAATGCAATGATTTGAATTGTCGACGGGTTAGCACGTCAGCCTCACAGTGCAGAGGTGCAGGGTTCGATTCCGGCTTCGGCCTTCCGATGTGGAGTTTGCATATTGTCCCCCATGCCTGCGTGGGTTTTCTCCGGGTACTTTGCTTTGCTTCCACATTCCAAAAACATGCATGGAAGGCTAGTAAAGCCTTTCGAGCACTTAAAAAAAAAAACTGCTCCGATGGGGAAAAAAGCTTCCCCGTATGCGATCGTATGGAAAACAAATGGTACAGATTGTTTGCGCAAAATAAATGATGTCATGCTGACAAAGCGGAACAATTGATCAGCTGCAACCTGGTGATGTAAGCACATGACAAAGCCTCCTGAAAATAACAACAATCCACCCCAGCGCCAGCGTCCCATTTGCAATCTTTCTTTTTCTCTCTTTTCAGCGCACCGTCTTCCCCAAAGATTACTATGTGTTGCACCACTACGCAAAAAGCATGTTGTGTGACACGGATCCGGTGAGTCCCGTTCGCTGTTACCAGACACGGACTGAAATTGAGCACGTCCTGTGGAGATTTGCGGCGTGTTTTTGCCCACCAAACATTAACTTGTTGTTGTGCCGTTTGTCCCCGCAGTGTTGCGTGTTCCCCGCCGCAATTGTTCTCCTCGAATCCTGGAATGTACTTTTGAGAAACCTCTGGGATGAGCATCTTAATCAGTCTTTGATCTTCGACCTGAAGCAGACACTGGATATCATCATCAGAAAGAATAAAAACACCGAGGTGGGGTTTGTTTTTGAAACGCGTGCAATCTGCGAGAAAGTCACCACAAGCCTTAAGGGCTTGGTTAAGAACACTTGCTGTAGAACAAAAACGCTACAGTACTTCTAACAAAACGAAATGAAAGATGGAAAGCAACAAATGTGAAAACTCGCATTTCAAGATGGAGAGGTTTATTTATTTATTCATTTATTGATGCGGCTTTTCGTATGGCTGCCTCAATATCCTATGTGAATCATTTAATTATCAACCTCAGAATTTGTGAAATTTCAAGGCAGAGAAATTTTATAGGTTATTCCCATGGATTATGAGTTGGGCTTTCCAAATAATTTAACGCACCGCAAAGTGTGTCACCATATACATTTGTAAATCCTTTCCAGCCTTTGCTATTTGGAAATTTCAAGCTGGGGATTTGTATGGTTATGAGTTCTGACACTAAGATAATTTATCGATGTGCACTGTATTTGATGCTGCTTTTGATAATGCCTGCTGCTCAAATCTGCAAAAAAATAAATAAATAAATAAAAATTAAAGATGAACAATACTTGATCACTGGCCACTCAGCAATGCTACCCGTCTGCTGTATTTGTCTGCTGTAGAGGTTGCGGGAGGAGATGGACCCGTCCCAGTTTTCCCCACTCTTCTCCTCTCCCGAGGAGCTCCTCAAGCTCACCTCGGAGTTGTTCGCCCAGTGGCTGGAGGTCGGATGCTCACCCTCCATGGAAGTCTGCGAGCCCCCGACTCTGCCTCCCGCAGCCGAGAAGAAGGAGTACAGTCCATCCAGGGTCCGACTCCTGACCACCCGGGCCATCAGCAGCAGCATGGAGGAGGCCGAGCTGGCCCGGATGAGAGACTTGACCCAGCCCTCGTCCAGCCGCGGCCCTGCCTCCCTCTCCTTGCATCCCGCCTCTGCGTGGAGCCTCCTCCTGTTCAGACTCTACCAATGGTTGTTGCCATAGCAACCTAAAAGGATCTTTTTTTTTTTTTTTTTTTTTAAGCCGACAATGCACACAAAATGCAAGACATTTCCTGGCACTGAATGATTGTTTCCTTTCTATTTGTGGTGTGTTGTGAGGCAGTATGCTGGTGTTATCATATGAAGTGACATGCGCAGGTTGCATTTTTTTAACGTCCAAAATTTTTTATTTTTTATTTTTTTGTTACGTTCACTGCCCTGATAGCGCAAAAAACATTTAAACCAGAGGCGGGCTTTGGATTTGGTACCTGGTCATACAGTGGGGTCTTACTTTAATCCACCGCTTAATACCGCAACTTCAAGTCACACATCGTAGAAGCTGTCAGTACTATATCAAATTGCAAGTAGAGTTCTGTTCAGAGTCAGTATTTTTATCCGAGAGATGCCAAAAAAAAAAAAAACATGAAAAATGCAATAAAATACATCATATTCACCAGCGATGCTGATTATCCAATGTATTCATGTGTACAGATTGCTACAGACATGTTTCGCTAGTCTAACTTGGCTGTGACAAGTTTTGCTCCTACCAACCAGAGGATGGAAAAGGCAAAATTTCATGGGCCAGCACTTACTGATTCTGAATTGATTAACACGGCAACATGTCGACGCTGAAATCTGATTGGACAAAACAATCCAACATACACATACGCTACGTCGACGTTCTATGTTGGCAATGACGTCAGACCATTTCATAGGATAAATTTAGGTTGTAAATGTATGCCAGTGCTTTTGTTAGCGTTTCTTCCTTGAACGTTCTCCAGTGGTAGGAACACAGCTTACATATAGAGCATAGTACTACAGTACTCGCCTGCCTAGGTAGGACAAAGTCCAGCTAGCTAAGCTTTTGGCTAACATGTGGTACATGCCGACCAAGCCGATGCACACTAAGCCTTCGCGTGTTTCTGATGTGGAATCTGTCACATTTGTTTACATTGACTGTTTTCATAACTGTAAGATATGACGTCTACGGACTTTTACTTTTGTATAAAAATGTGAATTAAAGCCATTGAGATATGTTTGTGCCGTGATTTTTTTCAGGAACGAGGTGTGTCAAAGTACAATGGACCCTCTGAAAGGCAAACCGTGGAGAACCTTTTGAATATTAACGCGGTTGACTTGACTTGATACGCGTATCATTCATTCTGTTACTGAGCTTGTAAATAATTTACTTGTATCTTAAATTATTAGAGGATCTTGTGGCTTTGGCTTCTGGCTGTTTGCAAACTTGTCGACTGATTTTGTAATGGTCATATTCTACTGAAAAAAATATTTGATCCATTACATATTTTTCGGTTTGGAATTTGATTCTGTCAAATATCGGAATCCTCTGTCCTACAAAAAAAACCCAAATACAACAGAAATATACAGTGCTTCCTTCACTGTCGCTTGGTTGAATTTTTTTTCCGTTTGTGTTGCAAGCCGAATTTTTGGGTACGAGCGAGCTTCGGATACTCCACCAAGTTCGAGCGAAGCGAAACAAAAAATAATAGGTTCATTTTCCCCAATTACTGAACATGGCAAAACAGTCAAATGAATCCAAAATGGCAACCCTCGCAACCGGCCAACCCGGCTCCAGATCCTGATGTCACTCACAAGGCCACGCCTCTTGAAGGCACTCGTAGACCGACACAAGAATTCAACATTGTCTGCAAGTTAACACTTTATGAAATCGTTTTTTGTTTTACATTCCTTTCTTATTTTTTTTTTCAAATTTATGTTTTACAATACAGTGCTATTTCCAAAAAATTACGGAACCAAAACAATTGTGGCTGCCATTTCAATTCATTTCAAAGAGTACATTTAGTTACAAGCAGGATCATGGAACAAATTAACCCCTTAAGCCATGGTACCAATGTTGTTGTTGTTTCATATGAATAACGTACTCCATGACGGCTATCTTTTGAATCCTATTTGTCAAATAAATTGAATGCAGCTAATTTTCTTTGCTGAACCCCTTCTGGGACAGTGGACTTTTGGTCGGCTCCACTGTCCTCCCCTTGTTCATTGTTCTGTCTTTGAGTAAACAGGCCTGCAGGAGAATGACAGAGCCAGAATGTGGTTGGAGTTACGGTGGCCTGCCCTGTGCCAGTGCTTCATTTGGTTTATTTGTTTACCGTTTTCCCAAATTGAAAAGGTTTGTTAATGATTTGACATGCCAGCTTCCAGGAGACAAAGTCCACGTCTATCCATGCTGAAAAAAAGTCCTTCCGAGATAAAAATAGTTTCACGGCTCTTTTTTTCTCACGTTGGGAAAGAGAAATAAATCTGCCAAAAAATAATCACAACCCAGAGAGGAATGTGTTGTGGATGAGACTTTTTGTGTGAGTGTCAGGATCTTCACGTGAAAGGAACTTGCAGCTGCATTTTAAACGCTAGTACTTGCCCCTGCTTGTATACACCCACACGTGAAATGTGCACCCTTGTCCTGACAAAACCCCTCCTTGTTGTTTCGCAAGCCTTACAATGCAAAAGGCATGTTGCCGTGGACACTGTGGGAGCTAACAGTGCATTGATTTGTTTTGGTTTTTGGCCAAGGACGGGTCAGACAAATTACAACATCAGACTAAACGTAACCAATTTAGTGTGGGGAAGCTAAACTGCTGAGGGAGGGACTCTTGGTGTTGTTCAAAGTCCGGCCGGGGGCCATTTTTCATTGGCCGGGGTGGTATTGTGAAGATTTGATCTTTTTATGTTTTTTTTTTTTTTTTTGAAACATTACTTTTATATTTCATTCATTAAAGAATGGACAGTAAACAGCAAAAATACATATATAATTGATGTCCATGACAAACATGGCTCAAAATAAGCGTTTTCGCGAGGCAAAACTTGCATTTTGCGGCAACAAAAAGGATTGAATAGCAAAACTGAGAATTAACTGCCAAGACATCCCGTAAAGCTTTGCTGGGCTGGACACACTCGCAGGTAGTCAGAGACAGAGGCAAGCTTGATTCTACTTATGCTGCAACAGCTGGGTAGTAGCAAGCTTTGGCTGGGTACTTGATCAGCTAGAGACACTCCGAATTTTCTGACAAGTTCTCATTCTCATTTTGATTTTGAAGTTCTCAAAAAACATTACAGTACCATGTATATTTGTGTTTCAAATGAACCCATCTGAAAATATTGTTAGACAAGAAAATGATTTGCTGCTAAACAGGCTGTGAATTTAAGAAATAAAAACAGTTGATGATATTAAAAAAAAAAGACACAAGTAAAATCATTATATTGTCGTATTTTTTATTGTTTAATAAACTCCTACTTCAATATAAAAAAGGAAGACACAAGTAAATCATTATATTGTCGTGTTTTTATTGTAAATTCCTACTTCAAATTCCTGGGATCAACCTCCATAATACTCCTCAAAATTAGAAATGTTCTCTTTGAATGACGTAATTGACGAGAAAATCTGCTCCACAAATAAATCAAATTATTCGAGACTTGATAAATGTTTGGGGAAAAAAAACCCACAAAACAAAACATGCACACACGTATCTCTGCGTCTCCATGTGTACATTCGCTAGCACGTCAGAATTATTAATGTCCCTTACAAGAAAGAGTAAGTGTTATTTGACATTTTCGGACGGGACATTAATAAGCATCTTTATGACCGCCAGTCTCTTTTTTTAGTTTATTACCGCCAGTCATTCGTGTACTTCGGTACCAGCTGAGTTCCAGTAAATGAGGAGTGGGAGACGATTTGGTGGGAGTGAAACCAGAAAGGAGGGGGTAAACGGCGACTGGAAGGGGGAGGGACTTAACGCACGTGACCAGAAGTGCGTACTCTTCTTCGTCTTCTTCTACGTCTTCTACTTCTTCTTCGTCGTCGTCTTCTTCATCGCCAACATGTCCGCCTCCAACGAAGACACGTTTGCCGAGGAACCGGACGGCATGGAGGCGCAGGAACAGGACGAGGCCGCCAGCGACGACGATGAGGGAGTCGACATGGAGGAGGACGAAGGAGCGGACGGAGACGGCGACAAAAAAGTTTACTTGCCCGGAATAGAGCCGCTTAAACCGGGAGAGGAGCTGCAGATGGACCAGTCTGCCTACCGCATGTACCACGAGTGTCAAACAGGCGAGTGGGAGACAAGAAGACTCCAAGGGAATGTTGTCTAGTGTTGGAATAATACCTTCGTTTTGTGTGCGAAGAAGAACGCGAATGTTGGTCACAGTACACTCGAAAAATTTGGGATATTCTGCTGTCAGGTGGCGCTGTTCATTGACTCAGTAATTGCTTCCCTCCAACAAGAGCTTAGCCACCTTTGATCCAGACCAGAATGTTTTGAAGGATGTGCACTATGCCTTTCAGTGACTCTTCTAGTCTCTTTGTTGACGATAGTCTAAGCTCAGTGGCCACGTCCATCAATAATTTGGCAGTTTTATGTCCAAATGTAAATACCATGATCGAGAGGAGTGTTTTTATGCCAATTGCAATTGAACCATGAAATGGAGTGGAGTGTTTTTTTCCCCCCATTTGATTTGCTATTTTGCAACATGTTAGCGTAACTATTAATATTTGTGCAAGTAGAAACAATATTGGACTCTGAGTGAATTTTTTGGAATTCCTGCATTTTTTGTGTCCACTTCAATTTCTGTAGAAATGTAATTCTCCAATTTTCCATCCAATGCGTGCAGGCGCGCCATGTTTGAGCTTCGACGTCTTGACAGACACTGATGGAGACGGCAGGAAAGAGTTCCCTCTGTCCATGTTGCTGTGTGCGGGCACACAGGCTGACACCGCCATGGCCAACAGGTTGGTGTTGCCTCATGCGCACAACACAAACAAGCCGAAACTCACTTAGCGAGTTCGCTTGCACGCGGCGGGCAAATGGGCAAGTCGCTCTGCGTGTTGCTGTTTGAAGTTATTTCATGCAGAATGGCTCCATTTCCTGGCAGAAGCTGCTCGGCAAAAGTGTGAGATGTAGATGAGGCCAAACGTGCCGTGAAAGCCCCTCGGCACCTTCTGAAGGCCAACAAATGTCCCTCTTGTGAGCTCAACTCAACAGAGCGTGTTTTGACTCGGCAGAGACAAAAGAGAAATCGGAAAGAGCCACTCGCGATCAGCCAATGAAGGCCCGCTAAAGTATCTGGTTTGGAAATGTCGGTGGACTCCACACTTGCTGCTTTCTACGACTGCAAAGGATTTAAACAATTGTTAAGATGTTGTTGTTTGTGTCCAAAATAGCCCTTAGAGGTGCATAAAATGGTCCTTCCTAAATGGTAAATGGCCTAATTGTGTGAAAACTCAGTGAATCTTAGTATGTACCAGGAGTCAAACACAAGCTCCCTCGTGTAGTATTAAAACAACTGCTACCGTGATACACTTACGATGTAGCTAATCTCCAATGTGGAAGATCGGAGTTTGCCCACCTCTGCTCTCAATGAATCTCGATTGATGCGGCTCTCCATATTTCATCTCCAAGTGGCGGCTTCCGGGCTCAGTCATGTGGCGGTTTGCTTCATTTCCGTAAGTTTTACTTTTCGCAGCCGACAAGAGTTGGCAAAGCGGCAGAAGCACAGATGGAAACAATAACTCATTTGAATGATGGCTTCATTCCACCAGCTGTCTGAGTAAATCATGTCAGCAAGGGAGCCGCTGGGCTCTCGTTTATTGTTCTTGTCATCCGTTTTTTGCTCTTTCCCCGCTCAAAGAGCATCTGCGACGGCAGAAAGAGGAGGGGAAAAAATCAGGCCATGTTTTTGACTTCCCCTGCAGACTTCTGGTCATGCGCATGCACAATCTTCACGGGACAGAGAAAGAAAAGGAGCAAGAGGATGAAAGCAGCGATGAAGAAAGTGACGAGGAGGAGGGGGATGAAAGTAAAAAGCCGCAGTTGGAGCTGGCCATGATGCCTCATTTTGGAGGCATCAACAGAGTTCGAGTATGTTGGCTCTTTATCCAAACTGGAATATTTCCTGCGGCAGGAAGTTCCATTTTTTTTTTTGTTTGTTTGTTTTGTTATCAGGTGACCCGGCGTGGAGACCAGGCACTGGCCGCCGTCTGGTCCGAGAAGGGACAGGTGGAAATATTTGATCTGCGGCCTCAACTGGAGGCCGTCCACAGTTCTGCGGCCATGGCGACGTTCACGCAGCAGCAGAAGGAAGCCGCGGCGCTCTTCAGCTTCTCGGGTCATATGACAGAAGGCTTTGCCATTGACTGGTCGCCCTTGGTTCCTGGTAAGAACTTTTCACTTTGCTGCTAACACTGACATCTTGACTTCCGAATGCCCCCGACTTTTGAGTTTTTCAAGTTACGAGCTGTCACTTTCTCTTCATCTTGTGAAGTGAAAAAAAAAAAAAATGAGCAATCGAGGCACCATCATGCCTTTGCGAATAGGCAAGAAGAGCCACAGTTGCCAATCAACTTTCTGCCACTTATTAAACAGAAGAAAGAGTCAAAGTGCACCGGTACAAAATGAGAACACTTGCAAGGAGCTGCTGTCGAGGGCAACGCTCGTCGGCAAAATGCTCCAGCGCAGGCGAAGGGGCCAATCCGGCTCCCGGCGTCACTCGCTGGGCCACCTCCCACTCATCCATCACATGAAACGGACACTCATTACTCTTCATGGAACCTGTTTATTTTTTGATATCGGCTAATGCGGGTGGGGGCGGGCGGGGGGTTCACCAACCTTTTGGAAAGTGCGTGCAACTTCTTGCAAAAGGGCTACGGGTTTGACACCAGACTTCTGAACTAACAAGTGTGCCAAATTAGCTACCTTGTGCCCGCAAACACCACGTGAGCGACCCCCCCCCCACCCCACCCCTTGCTAAACCTTTAAATCGAGGTAGCAGAGTAATTCTTGATCTTTTGGGTTTTTTAATGAAGGCCTGTTAACCGTGGTCAAGACTCTGTGATCTTCAGTGACGCGAGTCACTGCAAGCGCGCCGTCGTGTGCCCGCACTCGCAGGTCGTCTCGTCAGCGGCGATAGCAAGAAGAACATCCACGTGTGGGAGCCTCAGGAGGGCGGAGCCTCCTGGCGGGTCGACCAGCGGCCTTTCAGCTCTCACAGCAAGTCCGTCGAGGACCTGCAGTGGTCGCCCACTGAAGCTACGGTACTTTTTTTTTTTTTTTTTTTTTTCCTTTTAAACCGGGAGATGTGCAACTGCAAATATTACAGATAGCCGACTTCTGGAAAGACCCGAGTTCATTGTTGTCGTCCATTCTAGGTTTTTGCGTCATGCTCAGTGGATCAGTCCATCCGTGTTTGGGATATTAGAGCCCCGCCAAACTCCATGCTGTCAGCCAACCAAGCCCACGAGTCAGACATCAACGTCATCAGCTGGAACCGAGTGGAACCGTTCCTCCTCTCGGGAGGAGATGACGGGCTTCTCAAAGTGTGGGACCTGCGGCAGTTCAAGGTAACGCTTTGGCTGTGACGATTAGTCATCGTCGCTTCTGGCCATCGTGACCGGCAACTCTATTAGTGAGTGTGAGTCACAACAGCACCGTCGAGCGTTGACACGGTCGAGCGTTACTGCGGTAACCGTGTCGAGGGCTTCAAAGTGCGAAGTCATCGGATGACTGTGTGGTTTTTCTTCATCACGCTGTCATTGATTACTTCAGGAGAAGTGTGAATAGGATTTCTTTTTTTTCCCCTTTTGCATGCAGATTAGGACCGATGAGTATATTTCAATATTAGCTTGTCAATTTGAATATCATTTATTTATTTATTATTTAAGCCGTGTATTGCTCCAATTATGTTTCCCGTTCTGGTGATAATCCACATAAAACGTTATTTGGTAAATGGGTATTTTTGAGGAATGAAATCAATAAATTACAAATCCAATGAAAATCCAAATTTACATCCCAAACTGAATCCAAACTTGATCCGACCTGATCCGAAATGACACATTTGGCCGCAATGTAACATGTCGAATCCGATGTACTTGATCAAATTGATTGAGAAAAATGCATCCCAACACATCGTTTGGAGCTGCAATGTAAAAGCAACATTGAATCCAGATCTAATCCGAAATGTGTTCTCCTGTTGTGAAAGTGTTACGTTGTAACATCAAACCAAGCGTAATGCAGATCCGATTCGGGACCAATTGAATTTTTCAAATCATAGCCAATGTAAAAGTTTGGTGTGTGCACTTTTCGGTTGTAAAATAGAACACAATCCTGATCCGATCTGGATTGAGTAGCTGGCAGTAATGTGCACAAAATACAATTAGCCCATCGGATCAGGTTTGGACAGACTTTACTTATTCTGGGTGGAGAATTCACTATTTAGGAGCTCGAGTTTGATCATTTAAATTTGATTTGTCCTTTTTTTTAATTTTTATTATTTTTTTAAGTGTTTACAATTCTAGAAAGCAATCGAAGCTAATCTTCTTCCTCATCAGACGGGCCGGCCCGTGGCCAACTTCAAGCAGCACTGCGCCCCCATCACCTCGGTGGAGTGGAACCCGGCCGACTCGAGCGTGTTCGGGGCGTCCGGGGCGGATGACGTGGTCAGCCAATGGGATCTGTCGGTGGAGTCGTGCAACGCTGGCGCCCGGCTGGAAGGCATGAAAGACCTGCCCCCGCAGCTGCTCTTCCTGCACCAGGGCCAGTCGGAGATCAAGGAGATCCACTGGCACCCGCAGATTCCCGGCGTGATGATCTCCACAGCGCTGTCGGGATTCAACGTGTTCAGGACCATATCCGTGTAGTGTGTTGCCACCGCCGCATGCTTCGTGTGTGTGAAATACAGAATTCCCCAATGTACCTGGTCCCTGAGGAACATCTCTTTTCATACTTCCGGGTGGCAAAAGCGTTCTCCGGAGGCACCGATTGTAAGCTAACCAAACCTTTTATAGATTTACACCCCCCCCCCCCAAAAAAAAAATCTATATATACCGGTATATATATATATATATATGTATATGTATATGTATATATATATATGTATATGTGTGCGCGTGTGCGTGTGTGTGTGTGCGTGTGTGTGTATTCTGAAACCATTCTTGGTTGGGCGCCTCCACCTAAGGGGATGAATGCTCGGATCCTTCGCCATCCCTTAGGACCAGCGCTGTTCGAAGCCGTCTTTCGGAAGACACTGATGAAACCTGCTCAGATGAGAGGCGAAACACCTGAGAGTCCACTTGCGATCAAATTGATGAGGAATATTCACAGAGTCGGTCACTTTTGTGCCACCTGAAAGAATTGCATCTGTGATTTTCAAACGGGACATGATCTATTGTGAATGTTTTTCTTTTTTTTTGTTGGTTTTTGACAGATGCATGCAAATGTAGCTGCTCTGTATGAGCTTTTCTACTAAAGTTTTAGTCTGTGTAATTTCCATGCTGGCTGTTTTATGAACTATTTCATGCTTAAAATCCAATATGGACCAGAAGTCAAAATTAAGAAATCGTTTCGAGACATTGCTTGACATCAAATTCTCCAAATCTGATTTTAGCCTCTCAACAGTCATTGTTCTCTGATTTTGAGTCGTTCAAGAAAGCAGACGAATCATTTTGCGTTTAATCACAAGACATTTGCGAACATCTGCTTTTTTTTTTTTTTTGGTAAAACAATGACTCGAGCAGTTGAAAAAGAATGGCAGGTACATCAATCCCTCTCGTGTGATATTACTTAATTGTTGATTACTTTTTTAATCACTTAATACCAAATAATCGGTAAATATGCAATAATCAATGGGAAAAAACGGTTTTGTATATAATATTTTAAAATCGGAATCGATTCTAAAGATGTGAAGTGACAGCCTCATGATGAAGCTGCTATTCTTTGTGAACAAATGAACCAAGCTTGCGCTTACTTAAAATCCCAAATAGTTTTGTTTTATTGTTCCACTGTAAACCATAAGACATTAGATGCCAGCAAGCTCAATGGATAAACACTTTGCACTCTCCATTTTACAGCATGGTGGTGGGGGGAGGGAATAAAAAAAAAAAAGACTCAATATTTGATTGTATCAGCATTTGTCCTATTTTTCCAGCCCTGCAGCCCAAAGAGGAAAAAGCTTTGGTAGTGTATGAAGACACGTGTGCGTGCGCACGCACACACACACACAAAAACTACTCTGCACTTAGATCTAACGAGATCTGATCCAGAGAACGTCACATTTTCAAGACATGGAATGTTTACACGTTCACAAAATCTGCCCCGACGACGTTCTGAGAGAATGACAGACATTGGAGACATAAACATGCAAAGGTAGAAAACAAAAACGTAAAACAAAAAAAGACAGTACAATGTTTGCTCAATTTAAGGCACTTAAAAACATGGATGGCACATTTGGTGAAAGATGAATTACGTCGAGATTAAAAGGCCTCCAGGTGAATTGGGGGGGGTGGAAGAAAGTGCTACATCTTTTTCACTGTCGGAAAAACAAATGCTGCTTGTCATGAAACGGGTCTTTGGCATATCTGTTACAGTTGTCGATAAGACAATGTTTTTTTGTTTTTTTTTTCTCCCAGCAGAGCAAGACCGTCTTCACACTGAACAGCTTTCAGGAAAAAAAAAATCAAGTTTGAATCCATCAGTTTGTAATGTGAATTAAGACGTTCGCTACTCACAAAAAGTTGAGGGACATTTGACGTTCAAGTAAAACTTTGAGGGTGAACCTAAAATGCCCTAGAGTGGGGTGCCCAAGTCCGGTTCTGGAGCGCCCCTATCCAGCAGCTTTTACATGGTTCCCTCCTCCAACACCACTGATTCCAATGATCACCAGGAACGGGACTTGAGCAACCCCGCTCCAGAACATTTACAGTTGATCTTAATTTGACTTCTTGACTTTCAAATTCACATTTTGAACATTTTGCTACTTTTAGCGCATTTCAATCCCAGGCAGTCCCGTCAAGATTTTTGTGCACTCTAGGTTCGTCCTGAAATTCTACCTGAAAGCCCAACACCTGTAACACTCTGTGCGTGGTGATTAATACACGCTTGGTAGTAAACGGACCTATAGTCCAATTTCATCATCAAACTCATCTTCAAAGGTATAACCTCGCCCTCCTTCCTCTTCCTCTGAGTCAGTCTCCGAGTGGCTGCTGCCGATCCTCCTCCGGTCCAGCGAGCTCACTCCTTCGAAATCGGAGCTATGAGACGAAGCCGGGCTGGGAGGCAGATCTTTCTGGGTGGCCAGCTCAGCTTCAACCTGCATCCCCCTCGTCGGACTCTCCGTCAGGTCCTCCTCCTGGAAGTCGAACCCTTGATCCTCTTCCTCCTCGGAGGCCTGGCGGATGATCTCTTCCCGCTTGTCGCTGAATCTCACTTTGGGTCGCAGCCCCTTGGGCTTGATCCCATCTGATGTTCTGCCCTCGCTCATCTGGTTCTCATCCAGGTTCTTCCCATTAAGCTCGTTGTGCCTGTTTACGACGGACATCTCCATAATTTCCACTGGGGACGCAGCGCTTTTGGGACCGAAGACATCTTTGTTGGAGTCCAGTCCCAATCCATCCATCACCCCTAGTACGTCTCCCAGCATGGAAGGGCCCAGATCTAGATCCAAATCCAGCGTGAACGACGACACCGACTCGGAGTAATCGAGCTCATCGCTTTGGAGACTCCCCGTAGGCTCTTGAAACACATCATTGTGATTTACAGATGCCGGGTAGTCCACGGACGAAGAACCTGGACTCCCCGGGTCGGAGGTGGGCGGGCTTGGACCCAGCGTGGACAGGAAGGAGGTGTCCCCAAAGGCGTCGCCACCTCTGCCAATGTGCATGGTGTGGCGGAAGTCACCCAGAGGGGCTGAGATCATGGTGGGGTCCAAGCGGGAGGCCCGGGTTGATTTGTGGAGTGGCATAACTGCCAAAAAGATTGAACGTTAGCGGTGACGCGCTACATTTAAGGCAATGATAAAGTGACCGCGGTGCGAAATGGATACGGTACAGGAAGAAAATACTCTTGATTAAAAAGCAAAGTGTTGTGCAAGAGGGTGGAGGGCCAATGATTGCTGCTATGACGAAGGCCATGCTGAGGCTTGTACTTGAACACACTCAGCGCATATTTTTGTCTGCCCTCGGGGGTTGCATGGGGAGCAAAACAAGACTACATTACTTTCACAGTCAAATTACCCAGCATGCAAGCTTTTGCGAGGTTCTACATCGCCCCACACAAAAACAAAGACCACCTAAATAGTCAAATTATTTTTCGGTAAATATCAGATAGATAGATACCTTATGCGTCCCGTGAGTGCAATTAAATATTAACTTCGCCAAGTACAAGTAAATAATTTACTCGTCTTACATTACTTAGTTTAAGAAGGGGAACCGTGGCATTCTCGGCGTTATCCCACCAAACGTATCCACACTCAAATCAGAATCAGAGTTTTCGAAAGTCTTCAATATGCTCTGTATTCACTTTTAAGCTAGCAGCCGCAACGCTCCTCGCCAATCGGCATGCTCGTCGCGCGCCACACAAAAACACGTGAAGTTTTGACCATAAAATAACTTACTTAGAATAAGGATAAAATTCAGCTGTTTGCTTCACCCTCTCTCGTACGTAGAAGCGACTTTCTTTCACATCTGGATATTTGTTTCCCCTCTCGACTTTCGGGTGTCTTTTTCCCCTTCGTTCTTCTTTTCCCTCGCCGTCGTTTTTTCTTCTTCCAAAGGGATGGGCGCTAGCCGAGGAAGTGACGCGACATGGTCGAGCTGGAATCCAACGTTTACCCCCTCAAACTTTCACAGCTACCATTTACACAACGTTTTCTTTGACCTCCACGCGGTTCGGGGATAACAACGGGCGTGTATTTGTGCCTAACGGTGTCGGGACTTTACTTTTACTCTTATCCAAGTGCTTCTCGCGGCGCTGGATCTAGGGAGTTAGCGAGCTTTTATTTTATTTTCCAAATAGCATAATAATTGTCACAAGTTTATCAAGTGTTCTAAATTGTGAGTATTTGGGGGGATTTTCCCCTCCTCCCCGTCGTCATCAATGGCTTTTTTTTTTTTTGCTCTGGAATGAGAAAAGGGGCTGATCTTGACAGCATGGATGGTTTTGGGGGTTTTGACTCAAAATAAACCGAAAGTCACCACACTTAAAAAAAAAACTAAAGTAAAAGTTACACAAACCAATGAAAACCCTTGGCTGGAAGTGTTTTTGGACAATGAGATGACATAGAGGGGAAAAGCTTCATCAGACTTTGGCTGCACACACGCGCACTGTTGACGGTGACAGCTGGTTCTGGGTTTTCTTGTGGGATTTGAGGGATAAGGAGTAAATGAGTGCAAGATGTACCTCTAAAGTGACAGCAGAGCCGTGAACCTTGCTGTGAATTCAATGCAACTGAGTTAACGTTCTGCCTTTGAGGTCAAGGTGTCATTATGAACCTGACGATGAAAAGATACTATATTCATCCCTCTTTGGGGGAAATTGTGTTTAATGGGGTACCCACCCATCTATTACTTTTTTTTTCCAATTCTAGATTATAAACAAATGCATAAAAATACTCTGTATAAACACAATACAGTAGAGTATTACAGTATTTTTTTTTTTTTTTGCTCTCTAGCAGAAGCCTGGAGGTTTTGTGCTCACACTGGCTGATGGTTCAAATGATTCAGAATTCCGTTCACCTTGTCTTAGGTCTCATTCCAGCTGGAAAATGAAGAAATAACTAAATAATTAGCTTTGAGCTTTGTGTTTTGCGACAAATCTACCATTTTGGCATTTGAACAGGAGTTTTGACTGTACGCTAACTGAGACGAGACTGACTGCCCATATGTCAACTATAAATGTCCAACCAGATCCAGATAGAGCAAAGACACAGTATACTCTTCCCACCTCGTCACCACCTATTGACATCGTCCATCTATTTTCTAAATCATTTCTCAAAGTGATTGAGATGGAGCCCTTGCCTTTTGAAAAGATACAAGGTACAGCCAAGACTAGTCTTCAGACAGTCGCAGTATTTAAAATACTGTATATCATTTTATTTTATTTTGAAATCTCTCGGGATGCTGAAAAAATGTGTGTCATTTGAGTATGAACTCACTGCAATTATTGTGCTGTTTCAACAATGCAGTCAAGGAAGTCAGCCAGCCGCAGCTGTCGTTTAACATACTGTACTTTTGAAAATGCCACTTACCGTACGTAGTTGGCATGGAGAATAGTTAACATATCACTAGTCAAACATCATTAAAATAATGGTTAAAAAAAGAGATATGACTTTGGGTCAACGTTATTACAGTGCATCTGCTTGATGTATTAACATTTTAAATTATTGGCATGAGTTTGGACTTGAATCAAATGCCCACCGATTGTAAAATTCCCACTCCTGATCTATGTCTGGAATATATCTCATTCAGCTTCCTTCCAAAGGGTAAAAAAAAAAGGTAACAATGGTTGTGGGTGAGTCATTGTTTCAGAGAGGTCGTGACAAATGGTCAACATATTTGCGTGATGAGGCAAGGCGACGATGGGAAGAAATTACTCATTGCAAATGAATATTGTAGTGTCCACTGAACAAACTAGGAAGTTATAATATCGTGCCACTTCTACATCAGAATATCAGTTTTCATGAGACAGTTTATACCCATGAGAAACTTCGAAATTAAATACCAAGGATAAAAATATCACGAATGTGGATGAGAAAGAGAGAGGGAATAGCAGAGAGGAAATGACTCACCTTTTGGTAACTCGCACGTGCTTGCACACGCTTACGCGCACATACATCCTTTTTGGAAACAATCATCATGATGACTACATTTCCGTCTAAATCCCCCTTCCCCCTTTTATTCTACGATGAAAAAAATCTCAATCGTCTCCAAGCGTTTCTGTGTACGACTGGAATGTTGCATCATTCCAAATGATTACAACAGATGATGTGGTCACTGGCGTCTTGAAGTCTCTACACTGTTGCTCATCAGTAAATTATTAGAAGATTTTGGTTATGGATGAGCATGATCCTTGTCAATTAGGTACAATTGATTCGTCTCGTCCTAATGCACTTGAGGCAAAATGGAGTTTGCTTCAATGAAAAATAAACACACACAATGTAAGAGCACGCAGGAGTAGTTCAGAATCTCTATTGATCTAATAACGCGACAATTTTTTTTTAAATAAACATCATCACATCTACCATAGATACTGACTATTAAACGTATATATGTGCAGTTTGCTTTTGATGTATTGCCGTTTGCTGTCACAAGTTTTTCTCTGATGAACCAATCAGACGACGGAAAATGTTGACATCAGCGCTCTTGACCTGTGACTACATATTTGAAATCTGATTGGTTAAACAAACAGTCCACTTGATAAAGTTGCGGCATACGTGGCACAGGAGATGCGAGCCAATCTCTTTTCATCAATGGACACGACAGCTTTGTGTTTGCTTTCAAAACTTAGCTTGTAGCAGACGTGTGCACATTTTCAGCATGACGTCTCTGATCTACTGGTGAAAGGACACTTTGATCCTCTCCTCTTTCATCTATAACTGCTTCAAACAACAAAGTGTATGCAGGAAAAGTGATTAAGATTGCACGACTGTCTGTGTCTTATGTGTTGTACTGTGTTATTTTGTTATTTTGACTTCAAGATGGCGCGGCAAGACTGGCTGCCTTTCCAGCAGCTTCTATATTATGTTCTTCTACTTCTTCCTTTCATAACTTTGCTGCTGTGAATTGGGAATTTCTCCATTGCGAGACTGATAAAGGTTTTCTTATCTTATCTCATCTTATAATACAGCTAGGCCAAGTACCTTTTCTCCATCCTGTACTGTATCATGCACGGATTTTGTACATTGTTCCGTCGGATTATTTTGGTCATCTTTTGTCCAGAGACTGAGTGGAGTAACTGGATGTTCTGCAATTAAAGGCCATCAGCCGATGTGGCCACAGGCGAGAATCGATGCATGCGCGCAAATGGGAAGGCCACAATATCGGTTGAGCGTATGGAGGACGGACCATACCCTGATGTCACATGTCCTGCCTCCAGCTGCATGATGTACACACGGTGGTGGCGCACGTCCTCATCAGGGTTACTTTTAGGTGACCTGGCCTCGGGGTGATCCCCAGCTGACTTTAGGATGCATAGACGAAAAAAAAAAAAAAGACCCCCCCCCGCCCACACACACACACACATTCACACTTTTAGACACAGTTTTTGATAATGACAACAGATTAAAAAAAGTGGAATATTATTCACAGTGGGGATTTTACTTTACTAGGCCATTTGTAGTAAGATATTAGATAGGTTAAAGTTCCTTCATCAACTGTGGAAAAATGTGATGATGTCTCCATCCATTAAATTCTATAGTGCTAGTGAGCTAGAGTCTGTTCCCGCTGACTGGGTGAGAAGCAGGGCACTCGGTTGGACTGGTCGCCAGTCAATCAAGGATAAGTTACATATGGACAACCACTCACATCTGTGAATAACTGTTATAAAAAAAGGGTTATATCAATCTAACTTGCATGTCTTTGGAAGAAGAGAAAACCCACACAAACATGGGGAGAATATGCAAACTCGAGGAAGGACTGAGATGAGAAGTGAACCCAGAAAATAAATCATTGCAGCCAACAGTTCTCTTAAATTGCCTAGGGCGTGTCCTGCCCGGACACAGCAGCCAATAACATTGGAGATGGGCGTGTTATGCCGAGAAATGTAGAGGGAATCATGGAATTCGATTAATGGAGCGCTTTTTTTTTTTTACAGAAATCTTTATTACTGTATAGCACAAAACAAGCACAGGACAGTATACTATGTCAATCAAATAATCATTTGAAACTCGAAGTATACTTGTGTACAACGTAGAGAAAAACAACAACAATGACAGAGGTTTCATATACATTTCAATAAATGGAAGGTTTTAAAAGCATTTGTAGCTTTCCCAGCATTGTTATTAGATTAATTTAAAATTTTTAAATAGGAAATGGTGTCGATGTGAAAGTGTGACAAAGCAGGCTTTTGGTTGGCGTATTGATCAATCGAGTTTGCCAACCGGAAGTGTGTGTGACGTCATGATAAAAGTGCTATTTTGTCAAATTGATGGGTAGTATAAGTTAAATAAGTTTTCAAATGTAAGGAGGAAAAGTAAAAAGTCGTCATTAAAATAAATAGTCAAGTGAAATACCAATGGGGGAAAAAACTATTTTATTACTAAAACCAAATTGTACTTCTTTTTTCCCAGTGGGATCCCAACACTGGTGCAGTGATAAAATGTGAAGGAATGACGAAGCATTACATCATTTAACACGTCCTTGGGTCACATTCTCGCGTTTTGAGGTCCCAAGTACGTTTTGTTAGCGATAAATCAGTGACGCATTTCCTGCCGCAAGCAAGTCACAGAGCTTGGCGTTTCTGCCATTTTGTATTCCTCAGCAAGTCCGTCCGAGTTGTTGTCGTGGACGAACAAATCGTGTCTTGACACCCCTGACGGTGCTCTTCATTCGATTTGTAAATGAACCGCGATAGCGTAAAGATAAGTGTGCGTTCCAATATACATCGAATTTAGTTCACCGACGGATAATTGGCAGGCGTTTTTTTCTTCACTTCGAGGTTTAGTAACAGTACAGAGCTAAGGGAGTTAGCCTAGCATCTGTTCTAGCTTTCGAGCTAGCGAAAATTAAGCCGTCCTAGTTAGCTTTGATCCGAGGCGAAATGGCGGCCAACGCGGCACAAGCAGCCCCGAAAAATAATTGGTATG